AAAATGAGTTTTGTTTGGTCCTTCTATCAAGAAAGAGCTCCTTGGGTTGAGCATAATCAAACTTGCCACTTAATTGAGAAAGTAAGTGGCTTTGCCAAAATTAAGAATCTCATGTAACATCTGACAAATGTGTCCACAAACACATTACATGTAGTTGAAGCTTCACCAGAATTATTCTGGTGGAACTTGCTTTATCTAGGACTCTGAACTTTACCATTGGGTTCTGGTTTGTGTTTTGATTCTTTGTTAAAGTTAGAGGTGATTCTTAAGCCACAGCATTCAGGTCTTTATGGTTTTGGTTGAGCCAGTTTACCAACTTGTAAAAAGTTTTCAGCTTCCAAGAGTGGTTATCTACTTGACGGCTTGATTTGAATTTGCAAGTCAGGATGTTGCGATTTGGAGAAGTCGATATGCATGGAGTGCTGGTGAGACTTTCTCAGTTCTGTGGGGTGAGTGGGAGACATGAAGCAATAACCAGAGCTTTGGTATTGGGCCACAAAGGTTCAGAAGATAATAGGCTGTTTCAGTGAGTTGTGTGAACTTTATGAGTGTTAGCTAGAAACAAGCTGCACTAGTTATTTGTGCCCTTTTGTGAAAAGTATGCAAAGCTGCAAGCTTCAGAGTTCACACCTGTTCTTTAGAGGGAAATCCATGGCTCACCCATGATTTGAGAGCCTTGTTGTGAAGGTTTCCAAACTCCCCTGGGCATAGTTCCGTAATTCTCCAAAGCTCGATTCCAATTAACAAATTTAAAGCCTACAATACAAAGGCATGCACTAGATTTCTGGGCAAAAATTTCAGAATATTTGCAGTTCTTTAAGTAATCTCACTGTAGGAGCCAGCATTGAGAGAGACACTGAACAGTTTACACTGTGTTACCTTCAATCTTTCTGACCCAGTCAGTTCCTGCTCCTTCTGCTATGTTTGTCCAGGTGTGTTCTCAATTCCTTGCTTGGCTTTGGTGCAGTGGACAAATTCTGCTGTGTCAAGGCAGCCGAAAGTGGGTGCAGCAGTCTACCTTGGCATTATGGAGACATTCTTTTGAGGTATTCCATTATGTTATGGATACTGGTCAGGTTGCAGAAACATTATGACCTCACAGATTTTTATGAACCCTGTGTGGACTGTGAAATATCCTTAATATAAAAGTATACGTCACAATCGCAACACAAGGATATCAGACCTCATTGTCTTTGAAGATGTTATGCAGTAGAGCGTGTATATGTGCGTGTAAGAGGCAAGCTGGAAATCTCAGTGATCAGCAGCATGAAGGTTGTGACTGGAAAGGAAAGAAGGTAACAACAGAGGAGGAGGCCCTTAGGCCTGCATGAAGCTGGTGATGAGTGTCTAAAGGAGAATAAAGAATGATTCAGGTGCTTTGAATTATTCTGCACTACAGGTTCTCTTAACAGATGTGATTCTTTAAAGAAGCCAATGACTTCCTCCTCTCTGCACAGTCCCATGTCAAAGTGCTCTGCAGACATCAGTGCTTCCCCAGAATGCTGATCTATTGCCTTTTTATTTTCTTCAAAGATATTAAAACATTGGAGTGATTTCCAAGGTGCCATTGCTTCTGGTCCTCATTCTGAATCATAGAAGATGTCTTCCACTATCATAGGTGTGACCCTTACTAAGTCTCCTCTTCTTACTTTTAATTTTTTATTCAAGTTACCTGTGGAGAACAAGTATCTATGTGGTTTTGCATTGTCAGTATGTGCCATGTCCTTTGCTCCAGCTGAACAGTGTGTTTTCAGGAGGGGTACATCCCTTACTCCCCATGGGTCCCTTGGCTCAGCAATTTGATCACAAAGGCCTTCTCTGAGTCCATTTAGAGAAAGAAACTGCAGAACTAGAAACTGTGCACAGCCTTGCTGTGCTTTCTCTATTTCAGAGACTTTGTTCAGGTCTATGACACCTGCGCATGTAACCTTCAGTGCAGATCCTTCAAATGTATGTTCCTGTGATCAAGAGCCACGTTTGCCAAAGCTGAGCAAGGATTAGAGAACACACCTGGGCAAACATGGTAGAAGGAGCAAGGTGGGACAGGGTCAGAGATATGTCCCCAGTGCCTGTCCCAATGTCAGAAGTCTGCCAGCAGCTGGACCTTTCTGGCTGTGGCTTACTGATTTGTGACAGATCTGGCTGGTGCTTTCTATAGGAAATCTCAGGTTTTAGACAAAAATTTGTAAGTTTGCCTGCCATTCTCAATAACACGACCCTCCCTCACAAAGAGACAAGCATGGGGAGAACACACCCGTCATAATAAAAAGCGTCCAGTCTTCCTTGCCTAGGAGCCTAGCACTGATTTGGACCAACTCAAAGCTGTTTTCTGAAATCCATTGGGATATCTGGCCTCTGTCCAGTTATCTCAATCAATTGAGCAGTGAAATATTCACTTGAAATAAAGGTAATGCTAGCATTACCACCTCCTGTGCATAACGTATAGATAGCCAGCATGATGCATACTTGTTCTAGAGTGGCCCAGTGGTAGAGGTAAAATGGAGACCAGTCTTCACAACCTCAGCTGGAAGAAGAGTATGGAAAGCATTAGGAACAAGGATCCTAAGTTAGCTGAAAACTTCTAAGTTCCTGGTACGTTTCTGCCTGGGCTAACTAATGCTATCTCACGCAAATCTCAAATGTAGTTTGTGAGTTAAAGCAATCTATGTACTGCTCACAACAGGCAGTTTACTTGATGACCATGTTTTTCTGGAGGCTAGTCTTGTTAAACAGCACAATAATCTACCCTTCTGTACAGGTTGTCATCACTCATAGAAAACACCCTGTATGTTTAATTTGTGAGCTTTAACCTGACCCTCAGGTTCAAAAACAGAACCAAAAGGCTGTATCCCTGTACCCTAGACCTTTCAGACCCAGGCATGAACAACGCGGAACAAGAATCAGTTTCTGAGGCCTCCTCCTTGCTAATGGGTGTTGCAGGGAGCTGGTGGAGACTTCTGTTGGCCAGTGTATGATTCCATTTCCCTTGTATGCAGGGAAGGAAAAGGCATTTAGTCATTAGCTCGTTAGTGATTGCTGGCTGATGGCAGTGCTGCTACAGTGCATCCTTGTGCACATGCAAGGATTTGCTCCCATTCTAAAGCCAAACAGCCTAAGGAGATGCACACCTGCATAATCTAGTCCAGACCTACTGAGTCTCTGTCCTGAATGACAACGCTGCCTACTGTGTGCTGGAGTGAGCTCTTGCTGCTGGCTGCACAGCAGCAATCCATCTTCGGCTGAAACAAAGGGACGCAAGTGACAAGTGATCAGGACCTGGCCTGGGTCACTGATCAGCAAAGTTCTCTCTGTTTTTTTTTTCCATGAGAAGTCCATTTTGTCAGATGTCTCCATGTCAGCCTTGCAGGAGGGGATGTTCTGAACTGTTGGGTGGCAGCCATCGCAGCTGCTATTGGCTAAGGGGTACTCAGCACAGTACACCCATCTCTACTGCTGCTTAGGTGTAATCTCAAGAGAGAGGAAGAGGTGGTGAGAGGCTTGCTCCTCCCTCCATCCCACCTCTTCATTTAGGCTGTGCTAGAAAGAAATTAGCCCTCTAAAAACAACCTCAGTGTTTTCAGAGGAAGAGGGCCATTGGAGATTGGGCAGCAAGAGTCCCCAAGATGAGGACAGCTGTCCTCTTGAGCCTCCTGTTTCACATTGCGGCTGCTTTTCACCAAATGTGAGTGATGCTGAACTTCTATTTCAGTCTCTTTTATGAAGGCATCAGTCTAGGTAGATGGATCACATTGCGTGCTGTCAACTTTCCTGGTTGCTGCTCTATCAGATTACCCCAAAGGGTAGCTGAGTCCTTTACCTTGCCTCCCATGCATTAGATCGACCCTTGTGAGTTAAAATACCAGCCACCTTTTTTTGGAGGCTTTCAAGTCAGACCTTAAGCCCAGGGATACTTCTCCAGTTGCCATGCCAGATGAAATCACTGGTATCTAGACTGCAAAGTTATAAGGCCAATTCTTCTGAAGACTGCAAGGGATGGTTTTGGAGAGTTCAGGAGATGAATGGAGTAAGGTGTTTGAAAAAGATTATACAGCTGTACTTAAGCTAATCGAGCAGAAACTGTATGTTGAGTTATCAGTGAAGCAATCACTTTGCTGGGTTCACAGTTGCTTTTGAGTATTGGCTGCAGCCATGTCACATTGCTGAGGAATTCTGCAGTAGTGGGCTGCTGCAAGGAAGCTCTTTTGCATTTCTGAGCCTTCAGTGTGATGCCACCTCTGATGTCTTCTTTCCCCTGCCCCAGACATTACCTGGTGGTGATCCCTGCAGATCTCCGTTACCCATCCACCCAAGTTGCCTGCCTCCATATCACCTGTTACGAAGGAAAGCTTCAAGTGAATCTGATCCTGGAGCGCTCTGCAGGACATGATCTCTTGGTGCAAGAAACCATCCAGAAGGAGAAGACTTTCACATGCACTAAGTTCTGGGTGAGCCACCCTAGGCAAATGCCATCACTGATTTTTCCCTTCAGGAACTGTAAATCCCTTGTGTTACTCTCTAACCTGGGATGACAAGGACAGGGTCTAGTTTGCCTTGGAGTGAGTCTGCTAGGAAGTGGAGTGGGTGATGCCTGGGGATATGTAGCCTAGCACAGTATCTGTTGGTCAGTACTGAATTCCTCTTCTGAATCTAATTTTTAAATCCAACTTACATTTGTTAAAATCTACCACACTTCTGGATACATAAGAAGAACCCACCTGTTTCCTTCTCTTCTGGCCAAGACCAGATGAAGCTGCTTTAGCTCTTCTTTGAAGGACTTGTGCGGCTCCACAGCTAAAGCCTGGGGAAATGGTGGGTTGCATGACATACTGCAGTTTCTGTAGGACCTGAAGTCAGGAAACAAGTCAGCTCTTAGGGGCTACTGAAGAGCAGTTGGATGGAAATGGACGTGCTTGTTATTTTTAAACAGCATCTTAAGTTGATTCATTGTTGGTGAGAATTTAGCAAAGATCCAGGATAAAGCAAACATGCCTAAACAGTATCCCTTCTATCATACAGTATATTCTGTGCCGAAGTTGCTGAGGTCTTTGGCTTATTCAGGAAAACCCTCTGGTTGTCTTATCTGATCTGGCTTTCTTACTTGTACATGCTGGGTAGTTCTGAAGGCCTAGCATTTGAGGTTGTGGTACAGCTTGATCTTTCTCCTTTGATTCTCTGCTACCATATCCCACCTTTCTGGCATCTCCTCATCTTCCTGACCAAGTCTGAAGACTCAGAGGTGTCAGGCACCTGCTTATCACCAGAGGCAAAATTCCTTAATCAGTGAGAAGAAGGACAGATTCCATGACATACAAGGCCTCCTGCTGTCATATTGCACTGAGAGAGATCTGGAGCCAGATATTTGAGGGGGTGTCCTGGGTCAGGTGGAGGTGAACTGGTTAGTTCTTCCACTTTATTCTCAATTCCTCGTCAGGGCCCCCAAAAGATAACCCGGGGGCTGTGTGCTCTCCTCTCTCTGTCTGTACAGGTTGCACCTCCAGCTGATGGCACAGAGGAAATTGCCACTGTCAAACTGATCATCAGAGGCGAAGGGGTCAGCATTGAGGAGAAGAAAAAAGTTCTGATCCGCAAGGCTAGCTGTGGCACCTTCATCCAAACAGACAAGCCCAGCTACCAACCAGGGCAGACAGGTGAGAGCTGCAAATGGGAGCAACTGTGGGCCCTAGGCTTTCTGCTGGTAACACCATGCAATTGCCTGAAATTCATGGACAGACCTAGCAGAAGGGCTCTTGTTGATGTGATATTTTCAGTGGCTGTAATGTCCGGCTTCTGATGACTGTGAAGTTATAGAAGGCAGCTGGTCATTGTCCATGGTATTTTACATGTGGGAATGTCCATGTGGGATGTATCAAAAATGTGTGTAGAATAGAGACAGGAGCTGGAGAAACAGATAGAGCAGGGGGTCTGTAGGGAGGAACTGAAATCTGATAAATATATTCCCTGATTTCCTTGCCTTCAGTGAAATTTCGCATCGTGACTCTGGATGAGGAATTCATTGCACTCAACGATTCAGTAAGCCATCCCTGGGGCACTTGGAAAAGACTTGTTCCATGCATGGATCCTACCTACTTTCTACCCTGTTAAAGCTCCAACTTTTCCACATTTGTCCCTGGGCCAGGCTTGAGAAGTGTTCTGAGGAGAATAGTAACTCAAGTAAAAGCTAGTAACTCAGGAAGATGGCAGAGGCATACATGTCTCTTCCTCATCTTGGTAAAATGGTCATGCAAGCACAAGCAAGGGACATACTGTATTCCTGATGTGATGACATCATGTGGGGAGTGAATAGTTTGCAAGTCAGGTTTTCCTGTGGGTGTGATGGAGAGGGGTGCTCTTAATCTGGGTCCTACAAGTTGGAACTTGGGAAATTCTGATTTAGACATTAGGACAAACTTATGTGTTGTGGTGATGATCGGATATTGAAACAGGTGCCCAGAGAAGGTATTTTCATCCTTGGAGATGTTCAAAACTCAGCCAGAGAAGGCTATGAGCAATCTTCTCTAAGAAGACATGCTTCAGCAGGGTGTTGGACTAGATGACCTCCTGAGGTGCCTTCCAAACTATGTGATCCTACACCTCTGTAGCCCCCTTAAGGCTGCAGCTGTGCCAGAGCTAGGTCTGTTGGGGTAGTGAGCTTTCCTGATGCAGGACTCTGCCAAGAAGTCATTAGCAAGTGCTGGGTGACCTCCAGATTGGCTTTTCTCTTCCCTTTCTCCAAACCTTAAAGTAATGCACCCACTCAGTATTTCTCCTTTTTGATGATGTTTTACTTTACGTTGTTGTCAGTGCGCTAAATTTCCAAGTCACTAGTTGCACATCCTTCAGAGAAGGCTCTGCATCTGAAGTACCTTGTGTGTGTTGCTGGCATGTGTTTCTATCTTCTAATGTTTTTGCCTTTTTTCCCCTCAGATTTCCCTGTTTCTCCAGGTGAGTGATGATGAAATCTAGTGTTACAGTAATGTTAATGGCAGCCATTTCACTGGGCTATTCATGTTCAGTTCCTGATAGATTTTACAGACCTGTGAGTGTAACGGTAGAACTTCAAGATTTCTTAAACTAACATACTCTCTATGGATTCTTTTTCTTATGCACTTGGGGTTATGCTCGCAGTTACTTCAATAGAAATCTGAGTTGTTCTAGATGTGTGAGAGTATAGACAAATCAACTTAGACCTTTACAAAAAAGGTTAGAACTATGAAGGATCTTTCCTTCAGACCAGAATTTAGAGAAGCATAGAAGGAGAATCAGATGCTGGGGGTAGAATCTGAGCATCATATTGTCTTCCAGCCTATACCAAACCTCATTCCTTAGCTATAGAGGTAAGTCTGCAGCACTGAAATCCTGAAGCATGATTTCTATGGGGTGTGGATCAGTGAGATGCTGGAACAACTGTTTCTCCCTCTCTTGTGGGTGTAGGACCCTAAGAACAACCGGATAGAGCAGTGGCTGAATGTGGTCCCCCAAGACGGCATTGCAGATCTGTCTTTCCAACTAAGTGATGAGCCTCTGCTGGGGACATATGTCATCAACGTAACCAGTGCAAAAGCATATGGCAGCTTCTCCGTTGAGGAGTATGGTATGAGCATGTGGGGGATATGTCTGAGCTGCAGAGAGGACCTTGCACTCTTGATCCGGGAAGCTGGGTGTTTATTCCATGACAACCATCCTGTGAGCAAATGGGAAAAGTAATAGTATCTGTCATAGAAAAGAGTCTGAGCTGAGGCTTAGGAGAGAGAGCAGTTTGAGACCTTGGGTCAGTGTGTGGAAGGAATGTTGTACATGACCCTGGACCTTTGACACCTCTGATTCCTGCAGATCTCTGCATCAGACAAAACAAGGATGGGCTTTTCCAGGCAGTATGAAGTTTAGTACCATCCTGCTTCTCTTTCATCCCCTAATTAGCTGTGTTGGGAGTCTAGCCTTCTCCCAGTTCAAACAGCTGTCAGAAGTGCAGGGACATGGATGCATTTGAGTTTTAGTTTGGGAAGGAGCAATCAACCAGGGATGACACACAAATCTGTTAAAGAAACAACAGAAATCTTCCCTTTCCCCTTCTCACCACCTTCCTTCTCCATTTCTTGGCTCTTATTCCACCATAGTCTAACTTCATGTTGATTCTCTGGAAAGACTGTCCCTGGCCAGTGTTTCCTACAGTTCTCTTTTTTTCCTTCCAGTGCTGCCAAAATTTGAAGTGATCTTTGAGGTGCCAAATCAGATATATGCACTAGATAAAACCTTCCCGCTCCGCGTATGTGGCAGGTGAGGATTCTGCTTGGAGGGATGGCCCTATGTTAATTTCTGGCCTGTGTTGATTTATGTGCCTGAGCACAAGATGGCTAGCTAATCATGAGGAGCTCAGAGGAAACTTACTACCCTTCAGTTACAGGAGGCCAGAATCTTCCATGACAGTTGTTTGCACCCTGATGCAACACAAAAAATTGCCATAAATATCCTTCTGGTACTCTAATGCCCCTTTCCTAAAAACACTCCACAAGTCTCTACACACAGAACCTGGGGGAATAACCTAACCTTTGACAAGCAGCCATTTGTGGGGCAGAACATGGCAGATGTTTGGTGTTCGTTTCCCTGCAGAACAAACTCACAGGAAGCTTTTCCAAGTTATCATCTAGGGGAAATAAGAGAGAGGCAAAAAGGTATTGCCCTCGGTACAGTCCAAGGACAACACTAGGGTTAACAGCCTCATGTAAAGGTGCTTTCTTAATGAAAGGCACTTTCTTTATCACCCGTGCTTCTGCTCATAAGATGTTGCATGCCTTCAGCTCATCCTGGGGTTATTGCAGGTGATGCTGATATAAAGTGCAGAGCTCTGTGCTGAGTCAGCACCTACAACATTCTGGTTTCCTAGAAGAGATTAGTTTGGCACTAATTATATCACAGTGCCCTAGCCTGACCCTCCTTACTGGGTCAGGGCTCCTGGGCCTGCTGTGTGGCTGCCACTTTTGTGCTATATTGTGAATATCCATGACTAAGTGATCTCTGGGGTGATGCACAGCAAGCCCTGTGTTCTCTCACTGTGTGTGACTGTCTCTTCCTTTCTCTGCACCCCCAAACAGATACGCTTATGGGAAAAGCGTCCAGGGGATGGTTCATGTGAGCCTTTGTCAGAAGATAGCTCCGTTCCTGCCCAGTGCTTCAAAACCTGATCTCTGTCAGGAATTCAACAACCAGGTGAGATGCTTAGCAGGAGCTGAGCCATATTCAGACACATTGGTGCTCAGCCCCAGGGGGAGTCAAGGCTGCTGGAGGCTTTAGCTGAAACAGTAGTGATGTCACCCCGTTGTTTTGGCTGCTTGGCCACTGGTACTGCCTCTTAGTAACTGTGCCTGGTGACTATGACTAGGTGTGCGTCATGTGCTTGCTCCACATCCTGGACTGCTATTTCAAAAGGCAAGCTCCCTGAGAGCAGGGATTTTGTCTGCTGTTTCTGCCCCATTTGGGTAATTTCTAAGTCCCTTGCTCAGACCTTGTTTCCTTTCTGTACTTTCAGACAGACAAGATGGGTTGCTTCTCCACAAATGTGAGTCTGTCCTCCTTCAGTCCAGACTTTCGGTACTATCAGGACAGCATAGTTGCAGAGGCCTTGCTGGTGGAGGATGGCACAGGTAACTCTGGAAACATTTCTGGTGGCTGGGAAGAGGCATGTGAAGACGCACTAATCTTACCAAGAACACTGAAGCCTTTCTGGGCTTTGAGCTTTCTGAGCCTGTCAGGGCCTGCAATCTAATCTCACAGATACAGACAGACCCACCAGTTCCTGACAGCATGACACCCTCACTCTGAATGCCTGCGGTCTCAGGTGGTGAAGCTTAGGGACCTCTCTAAGGGCTAGAAGTAACTGGGAGGAAGACTAGATATGTGGAGCCCTGGGCAGATCATCTTCCTGTACGCAATATGTGTGCAGCTGAACATCTGCATCAGTATTACCAGTGGGTCACTGCAGGGAAATTGCTGAGGGATGTTTGGCTTCCTTTCTCCCTCTCTTATGTTTCTGTCTTGCTGCTTTCATTCAGAGATACATGTCAATGCTTCCCATAAATTACTCATCTCCAAGATTGGTGGGATGGCCTTGTTTGAAGATGTGAATTCTTACTACCACACTGGAGAGATGTACAGGGGCAAGGTAATTCCCAGTTACAGTCCTTTGGAGGGGAGAGCATAAGCAATGCCTTCACAGTGACTGTTACCTAACGTTTTTTCTGACCTCACCTCCAGCCAGGGGCTTGGAAGGGCATGAACGACTCCCAGAGATGAAACTCTTGAATTCTCAAAAGTGAGAGTAACACCCAAGACTGCTGTTTGCCAAATAAGCTTTGAGTAGCAGCAGCTCTGGGGATCTATATGTCAGGTGCAAACCCAAACATTTGGAATTTCAGCAGCTGGGAGGTCTTCTGCTGTGAAGGGGTAGAGAGCATGGGGGTGAATGAACATGGTAGTGCAAGTGATAATAGGAGGTGACCAGTAGCAGTGTTGATAATATTGTTAGTGACTGAAAGGGTGACCTTGTTGGCTTTGGAAATGCTGCTTCTGACTTGGAGAAGCAGGAGATTCTGTCTGCTGATTAGACTTTTCTGCACTTCTCTTGCTCACCACAATGTTCTCAGATTAAAGTCATTGACTACCAAGGCAAGGCACTGAAGCACAAAAAAGTCCTCCTCGTAGTGAGCTGCAGTGAGCAGCATTTTAAGCAGAAGTACATCACTGGGGACTCTGGTACAGCTTCATTTAGCCTGAACACGACTGCTTGGAACAGCACCTCAGCCTCCCTGGAGGTAAGTGAGGAAGGGCTGTCTTGTACACATGCATCTCAGAGCTATTTACTGCCCCACAGACATCTCCCTCATTCCTTCTTGAAGGACAATGATTTGAACCTGAAACACCTCAGCATATTCTGGACCTTGGCTCCCTCTGAAAGCTTATTCTCCAGGTCCCAGTTGCTTTCCTCATGAACTCTCCACACAGAGACCTGTGCTGTGATGTTGCTCAGACATGATCTGAGCTTTTTACCAAGCCACAGCCAGGGGTGATTTCCAGATGACTTGCCTAACTAGAGAAAGTAACTGGTTTTTTTCTTTTGTCTTACCAGGCAAGTGTCCTGCATCAAGATTTGGATAGAGAGCCTGGGACAGTTGATTTGAGTTACCAGCGAGCCTCTCATTTCATAAGTCCATTCTACAGCACCAGCAGGAGTTTTCTCTCTATTGTCCGTGTGCCGGAAACAATACTCTGTGGTAAAAAGCAGGCTGTCCAGGTGGACTTCAGAATTTATCAGGAGGACCTGGAACATGGGCCCAAGCGTGTTGTTTTCTCCTACTTTGTGAGTTTCTGGGGAAGTGCTAGTGGGTGATGGCTCGAGGCACAGGATCAGCATCTCCTGCAGATTCAAGCCTGATATTTGATAGATTTGGCTCAGCTCAGGACAGGTAGTTCACCCAGCCATCATGGGGCTGGGTCCTGGTTTCGATCCTGGGGCTGCAGTAATAGCAGGAAAGGCAGCACCTTTCTTTTGGCCTCTGCACAGGTGCAGGACAGGTATTGGCCAAGTCCCTTGATCCCCTGAGCTCTCCCTGCTACCTGAAAGGGTAGATCTCTCATCCCCACCACCCCCTGCCCTAGTTTAATCTCCAGTTTCAGGGTTACTTTGATCTGAATAGTGATCTCAAAGACTACGTGACTGGCATTCCCTTCCCTTTCTATGTTCTTCCCTAGGTCACAGGGAAAAGAGGGATAGTCCATGCAGGTCAGAAGACTGTTTGGGTTGGGCTGCCAAGAAGTAAGTGCACTCCCTTGTTTCATGTCTAGCAAGCATTCAGAGGTCTGTGGCATCCCCTCTTATTTCAATATGTGGCATAAGCCTCTTTGCAATTTAGAGCTGGCTCACCACTTTTCTGTTGCGTCAGGGCAGTGTGCCTTTCCAGCTTTCATGTTTCCTTTACCCTCCTGCTTGATACCAAGAAAACAATACTCAGCATTTCCCAGCCCATAAGTTTTCATTATCAAAGTCTCCTTTTGCTGCCCCTGCAATTGGCATGAAACTACAGCCTTACCCTCTATCAAAACTCTCCTGCTTTAATTTGAAATTGTGTCTACGAATAATCTGAGTAGTTAGGATGCCACATCTTATCATTTTGATGGGTGTTGACTCACTGTTGTCTACTTCTCCAGCTCATTTTAAAACCTAAATTATAGGTGCTTTGGGACAAAGGTCATCTCTTTGTTGGTGATGAGATGGGAGATGTTTGGTGATGGGAGGCTTTGAAAGGTATCCGAGACTCTCACTCTTTGTGGAGCTAATCTGGAACTCCAAAGAGCTCTTTCATCTCCTTGAGGCAGTGAACAGAACCAGGAAGAGTTTTTTGCTGCTTTTGAATACCAGATCCAACAATGTACTGATTGTTTCAGTGGCCTCTGGAAATCTCCTTGGTCCTGAAAGACTTGAGGAAAGGAATTAAACAGGCACATGCAGAATGGCAAAAGCTGATCAGAGTCCATTTTTACTACTAAATCTACTTTCTCTTCTTCCCTCTCTCCTCCATCTAGTGCTGAAAGGCTTCTTCTCCATCCCTCTTACCTTCAGTTCGATCTATGCCCCAGCTCCAAGACTTGTTGTTTATGTTATCTTCCCTAATGGAAAAATCATTGCTGATTCTACCATCTTCAGTGTCTCCATGTGTTTCAGAAATAAGGTAGGATTTGTGTCTGAGGCCATGACTTAAAGGTGTGTCTGCTGCACGTGTCTGCTGCAATGAAAGAAGAGACTGAGTGATACGTAATATGTGTAGCTGTGTGTGGCTGATACTGTGTGGGATGCTGTCATGTGAACTGCAGTATGTGAATGGTGAAGTGTGCTGTGATGTATGGAGCAAGTACGTGCTAAGCATTGGGGGGGCTGCTGCAGTGTTTGGGAAAGGCAGAGAATTGCTGTATCTATCTCCGTAGGCTTGTATAGCAACTGAAACCCAGTAGGATCACAGCCCAGCACAGGTTATTAGTGTGATTCCTAGGAGAGCTCAAGGCTGCTCTGCTCCTTGTTAGTGTGTGGTGTTGGGAAGACAGCTGAAAGTGGCTGATGGAAGAAGTGGATTTTACTGGCCATCCAGAAAGGACTGAGCGCTTGTGGTCATTGTGACATCCATAGGAATCTGCTTTCTTGGCTGTCTTGCACTCCAGACAGGAACTTCTGAGGACTGACATTACACCTGCTCCACAGTTGTTTATCTCCCATGGACAGTCAGATTCAAGCAAGAACAGGAAGTGCTTCAGGAAACTGGGACCAACCCCACAAAGAACCTGGAGATAAGGACTAGGCTTATTTTTGATATGAGGCTCCAAAAGGAGCAGAAAGACTGGTGTGTGAGGTGTGTGATCATGGCTGGCTGGTTTGCTAGGTAAAGAGAGCGCTGTGTTCTGACACAGGAATGTCTCCAGTACTGTGAGCTGTGCACGCTGATGATTCCCCTTCTGCCATCTTTCCTGTTAGAACCTCAACGTGATGGTTTTTTAAATACCTTCTGGGGGTCCTTGGGATATTCCTCAGGTTTCCATCCAAGGCAAGTCTTTGGAAACTTTCTTCATGTAGGTCCCTTCCCTGCTCAGGAAGTGGTAGGGTTCTCTTCTGCAGCAGCAGAAATGTCACTCAGGTATTGCCTGCATTCTTCCCATCCAGGTGAGTCTGGGCTTCTCAACGCCGGAGACTCTTCCTGATTCAGAGGTTGGTCTGCATCTGCTGGCAGCTCCTGGGTCCACGTGTGCTGTCTGGGCTGTGGATCAGAGTGTCCTTTTGCCGAAGCCAGGAAAAGAGCTCAGCAGCTCCTTGGTGAGTGAGCCTGCTCTGGCTTCTTCCCTTCCCTTGTACTGACATGAAGAGGGAGGGAGGGAGAGAGGCAGGCCATTGCATCTCTACAGACCTTATCTCCCAGCAAACTCAAAGCACTGCCCAGGAGGTTTGTTGCACGGGTAAGGATTAGGGGGCTGCATTAAGAAAGAGGTGCACTCAGTGCACCACTGGTAAATCAGCTTCAGTTGTTCTGTCTCATGTTCAGTTCAGCAGATTGTGCTGGCTCTATCAGAGGAGAACCAGGGAAGAGTAACAGTGAGCCTGGGCTTTCTGGCATGTGCTCATGCATGGTAGCCAGGAGCAGTTCAAACAGTCCTTGGATGTATGACAGGAAGGGAAAGTCAGGCTTTATTTTGCTGATTTTTTTTTTTTGCCTTTTCTTGCTTTCTCAGATCTACGGGCTGTTCCCATCTGTTTATAACTCCAGGTACCCTCGCGTAGTGTCTGAAGATGATCAGTCATGCGGGTTCCCAAATTCTGATGAGCCTGATGTGTTTACAGCATTCATGGTAAAAATTATTGATTTGAGGGGTTGGGAAGTGTGGCCCCCTGACTTTACCAGTATTCTAGGGATGCTGTTGCAGACAACACAGGGAATGGGTCCAGTTTAGGCCCTTGTAACTCACTTGTTATTTGAATAAGCAACTTGAAATGTTGATCAAGAAGAAATTGTTGTGTAGTTATCGCGCTTTGGTTGTGTGATTCAGGATGCCAAGCAATATTGGTTACTTTAATTGGATTTCAAAGAGTTTGTTTAATCTCCATAGCATGAGCAATTGCACTCTGGAGGCTGAGAAGGCATAGTGTCTAAATGACCATGTGTTTGAAAAAGAATAAATTTGGCTGACTCAGGCCAGATGAATTAACTCACAAGACCTTGTTTGGCCATTGCTGAGTATCTGAATAATTCTCCCTTAAAATGAAGTGAGGGAATACTTTGCCAAGTCAGAGGACAGCCAAGTCCCTACTGCATGAGAGGACAAGAAGGCACAGAGTAGAGGGCAGAGAGGAGAGGACAAGCTTCTAGCGCATCGGTTCTTTCTTATTCTTACAGGATATGGGGTTGAAAATTATGTCCAACACCAATATCAGGAAACCCAGAGTGTGTCCAAGCACTCCATTGACAACTATGCTGCTGGAAACAGAAATGTTTACTTCCAGGCCCATGTCGATGTTTGCCCAGCCCCATAAAGCATATAACAGTAAGCATTTGCCAGCTGTTTCCTCTTACATGGGATGCTTAGTCTTTCAGGTGAAAGCAGTCCTGGATTTGAGCTAAGAAGCAGTACTTGCTTTAATTGTAAATGGAGGAGAAAGAGCGTTTTCTGGCCCTAAACCTGTTGTGCTAGTGTGAGGCTGCCTGGGGCTTACGGCTTCTGGCTCTGAAACGTTAGTGAGCTGCCTGGATCCCAGGTCTTATCTCTGAGGTGATGGAATGGTTGCTTTTCCCATGGTGCCTACAAATGCAAGTAAGGCCCAAAGCACCTCTGTCATTTGAAATAAGGCAAGAGATTTTAACATTTGGGATAGCACCTTCTGTTACAATGCTGTGCTTCCCAAGAGCTGACTGGATGACCTGCAGCCTGAGCTGGGCTGGAGCTCCTTTGCTTAAACTAGGGTCTGAGGACCCTGTGGTGACTGGGTCTTTGTTATTTCCAGGAGAGCATCTGACATCTACCTATCAGACTACTATATTTTCACCTGTTTCTTCAGCTGAAGAGAAAGTACACAAGCATTTCCCCAAAACCTGGATATGGGATTTGTATTCTGTGGGGTGAGTAAACTGAGCAGTGGGGCTCTAGTCTGGATGGTTTAGTGTGACTGGGAGTGGCAACAGATACACCTGAGTTTAGATCATAAGCTGCTGAGGAAGACACCTGAGGATATATGTCATGGGGCTCATACCTGTCAGGCTGTTTCTCACTGGAGCTGATGTCTGCATCGAATGCATTTTCCTCTACTAGATGATCAAACAGAAATGTTTTCCATCCATGGGAGGTGGCTGGCATGGGAAGATAGGAAAGCAGGTGTGGTGCAGCAAAACAGCTTGGTTTACTGCCTATGCTCTGCTTGTGGTAGCCCTGTGGGCTGGCATTTCCCAAACTGCTCACAGGATGTATCCTGGGATGCAGGGGAAACTGATCTCCACAGAAGTCCTTCACAGGACTGGTACTTGTGTCCTGTGAGAAAGGCTTAGTGAGTACACAGGGTCTGCTGAGGGAGCTTTTGGAGATTTTTTTTTCTCTGACTAAGAATTTCTTGTCTGGAGACTGGAGTCTGCTTATGCCAGATGCCCCACATCTGCCCTCTTCCACCTCCACTGTCCTTCCAGCTACATCCATCTCTTTGCTCCCTAGCAGCAGATACCTCCTATGTGATTTGTTCACAAGCCTGATCTGTGCAACCAAAGGTCTCTACATTGTATGTGTTGCCTTCCTGTATGTGCCTGGCAAAAGTGAATGTCTCCGGTTATTGGAGTAATATATATTTATTAAAAATGTAATTATTTATAACTATATAAATAAACATTATTTAGCTCCGTATTATGGAGCTAAAACTTATTAAACAGCTTTAGCTAGGGCTGTTTTTATTTCTGCTGTGGTAGCAGCCACAGAACAGACTGCTGCTCTCAGAAGTTGTGATGCGGGCACAAGGCAAGTCTCTGCCCTGTCTTCATGTTGGACTTTAAGCTGTCTCACAGGAAGGTAAATGGCTGGATCTGTCTCTTCTGCTAAGTTCTACTGATACTGAGCCAGTCCTGTTGCTCTTCTGGTGTCTGGTTCTCCATCCCTAGGCCAAGAGTAATGAAACTGCTGACACCTGTAAACCATTTTTAGATGTGCAAAGGGCAAGGACTGTCTGAGAAAAGCATTGAGTGTGATTGATGGCATCTTGTAGCCACATAACCTATTGGAAAACTGTTCTGTTGGTATAAGCATCTGAGGCAGGGGTCCCTACTTCTGCAAGGACCTATCTGTAACCCTACAAGGGCTATAAGTCCAGCAGAGCTTAGGGGTTAGAGTGAGGTTAGGGGATGGAGTGCACTGGAGAGGAGGGCACAGACCAGGTCACCTAGTGCTGTGTATGGCAAGATTCAGTTAAATGCTTCTTTTGCTGTCTACTACTTCTCAGTCCCAGTGGGAACAAGAATGTCACTGTCACTGTGCCTGACACCATCACAGAATGGAAAGCAGGGATGTTCTGCACAGGACGTAATGGCTTTGGGCTTGCTCCAACCTCCAGTCTGCTTGTTTTCAAGCCCTTTCTTGTGGAGCTCACACTGCCATCTTCTGTGATCCAGGGTGAGACCTTCATCTTGAAGGCCACAGTTTTCAACTACCTGCAGCGATGCATGAAGGTAGGTGAGCCCTGATAGGCTCTGCAAGAAAAGCAGGGTATGGGTGGGTAGGATATGGCTGAAGTCTATGGCCTGTGGTGTTCATCTTGTTACCACCTGCCATCCCTCCTGCCCCTTCAGATCCAAATGACCCTGGAGGAGTTTGCACACTTCCAGCTGAAGCCATGCAAAGGATGTGTCTACAGCAGCTGCTTGTGTGCCGGTGAAGCTAAGACCTTTCAGTGGAGTGTCACAGCTGAGCAACTGGGTAAGAACAGGGAGGTGGGGGAGTGGAATTGGGAAAGATGAGACCAAGGTGGGGATGTTTTGTAAGAGCTGACATGGAGTGAGGAGTTGTTTGCCCTGTTGACCAGAGAGTACTTGTTTGCATTCATCCTGAGGTCATGATTACTTGCAAGTCTGTGCTAGGAGGTACAGAACCATATAGGGCTCTGATCCATTTTTTATTGTCAATAGGTGACTTCTATTGTATTAGTGGGAAGAGCTTCCTCAGAAGATGTTTTATGCACCTAAATGTTTGTTATTGTCAGGGCTCATGAACATCACCCTCAGCACAGAGGCTGTGGCCACTGAAGAGCTCTGTGGTGAAGAGATACCATTTGTCCCAAACCAAGGACAGAAAGACACGATCATCAAACTCCTCCTAGTCCGGGTCAGTCAAGCTGTTCTGTTACCTAGACCTAAAAGTGGGCTTTGTGCAATTCCCAGATTTTGTGTGTATTAATTTTGGGAGTTACCCCTTGCTATTCAAGGTGTATAATTAGAATCTCAGGGCCTGAGCTGGGCCCAACTGCGAGGGCTGATGGATGTGGGAGGTAGAGGGATATCCTCCACTTCATACCATGGAAAACTTTAAATATGTACAATCTTTTATGTCCTCACTCCTGAGCTCTCTGCTAAATCTTACAGCATCCATTTCACAGACATTCAGAAGTTACGATACTCTGAAAATGTGTGTTGTTTTCTTACCTGAATTGAAAAAAATTAACAATAATTTACATTTTTATGTGATAATCATGTTACTCCAGCTGACTCTCCAGCCTGAACCAAGATTTTATTCGTATTTATTTCTAATCCATTTGTAATCCTGTTTGTCTCCTGCGTGCTGATTATAATGCTACTTTTATGTGCTCCAACAGCCAGAGGGAGTGTTAGTAGAAAAGGTTCACAGCTCCATCCTGTGTCCCGAAAAAGGTAGAGAGATTGTTTTCTTCTTTCACCCTGCTCATCACCCATTCCTGCCTAACCACCACCTGGGTCTTTCCACTTGTTGAAATATTTTCTTTGTCAACATGACCAAGCTACAGAAGCATGCTCTAATGGTGGTGCCAACTAGAGCTTCCCCTGGGTAAGGATGTGGGGAGGTCCAATCTTTTAGCATCAATATCCCTGGTACTAATGTGACAGCTTGAGGCCTTTTTCACCTGTGGTAATAAAACAAGACTACTGAATATGGCAAGGCTGGAGGACATGACTTAGGATTGCTGTTCCTGTCTTCAATTTTATGGTGGATGATGGGGCCATTAGCAGATTTTGGGAGCATGAGGTACATTGAGAAGGTGTGCCTGCAACTGAAATCTGAAACAAGATGGAGTAAGTTATGTAGAGAAGAGCAGGTGGATTTGACCACAGAGGGTTTCCAGGAGAAAATCCTCTCAGCCTCTTTAGAAGAAAGACTCTTAGGATAGTGCAATCACCATGAGGTGGATGGAGGAAGTTGAGTGTGGAATGGGACAGGGTTTTTGAGGGGATCTGCAACCTCTGTGACAAGAAAATGGGATGTTAGCACAGAACAATCTTGGATGGTTTCTGGGGACTTTGAAGGCTGTTTTCATCAAAGTCTTTTTCTTTTTCTCCTTCCCAAACACACTACCCCACTGATGTCAGGGAATCCAGCGCAGGAGTCTGTGTTCCTGATGTTGCCTGTAAAGGTGGTTGAAGGTTCAGTCAGAGCCACCATCTCAGTCACTGGTAAGGAATTCAGCTACGATAGTACCTTTCTAAATCCCATATCTCTGAGCTTAGCCATAGGAAAGCCCAAACCCAGAACCCCCCACACCCTTTCAGAGGCTTCCAAGGTTCCACTGCCTTGTTCTTCCCATGTGTGTGGCTGTGTTTCCTGATTCCCATTAACCTAAAACACTCAGCAAGGGAGAGAGCGTTCTGTTTATGGGCTTACCCTGCCAGGATGGGAATGTGTACAGTCTGTATTGAAGGCCCAGTGGAACTGATAAGCTGGCTGGACAGAGGTGCCCCCACACTGCTGTGCTGGGGCTATCTTGTCTGATGCACTGCTGGGAATGGGTCACAGGTAGAAGGAGGTGAATCTCCAAGCCTCCTGGCCAGGAGGTCAGAGTGCCTATGTGCTGTTCCAGGTGACCTCATGGGGACAGCACTGCAGAACCTGGACCACCTGGTGCAGATGCCCCATGGCTGTGGGGAGCAGAACATGGTGCGCTTTACCCCCATTGTCTATGTGCTGCAGTACTTGGAGAAGACAAGGCAGCTGACCCCTGAGATCAAGGAGAGGGCAACAGGATTCCTGCGCAACGGCAAGTACAACTGACCCACCTTGTCCCTCTGCCTTCCCCTGTGTCCAACCTACTAATAGTCCTGGGTGCCTACTCCCCTTCCACCCAGAGCACTCAACCACTCCATTCTCTTCACAGTGATTTCATTGCAAATACCATTCTGAGCACTAATGTCCTATCTTGCTTACCAGGGTACCAGATACAGTTGCAGTATCAGCACCCTGATGGTTCCTACAGTGAATTTGGTACCAAGGATGAGTACGGTAATACGTGGTAAGCCCTGGGCTCTCTCCCTGCTGTCTGCCTGCTGTCTGACAGCCTGGAGGTGGGCAGATTTCTGCTTCCAGCATTGAATCCTTTCTGTCCTATTGGACCCAAAGTGTTTCAGATACTTTGCGGGCTAGGGTACTCTAGGGGTATGCAACTGCCCTTGGGACAAACCGTCCTTGGACCAGCAAATTAAGAATAGCACAACAATAGGTGAGGAGAGACCTACCAGTTTCAAACTCCCACTCTTTTTCCTCAACGTCTGCTTAGATTCTCTCTTTCCACTCATTCTTTCCTCTCATTCTCTTTCTGTTTATCTCTTCCATCTCTCATTCTTTTTTTCTGTTCTCTTCCCAATCAGGTTGACTGCTTTTGTGGTTAAATGCTTCGTCCAAGCCAAGCCATACATTTTTGTGGACAACAGGACCATCCAAGCTGCTCTCACCTGGCTGGAGTTCCACCAGCTTCCCAATGGTTGCTTCAGAAATGTGGGCCAACTTTTCCACACAGCCATGAAGGTAGGAGCCAGAGCACCTTGAAGGACACCTCAAAGCTGTTCTTGCCAAGTGTACTGGTAATTGTTTAGTTCACTTTCCTGTGTTGTTCTGCTTTCGTGCATGGGAGCAAGACATGGACAGGTGGGAACTTTGATGAAAAGCTTCAAGTCTTTGTGTATTAACTTTCACAGCTTTTTGGATATTATGCTTTTTGTAGGGAGGTGTGGATGGGGAAGTTCCCTTGGCTGCTTACATCACTGCTGCGTACTTGGAGGCAGGAGAGACACCAGAGGTGAGTATTGGGATTCTTTGCCATGCTCTTGCCTTAAGATCTGAATCATGAAGAGCTTAGTGGTGTCGCTGAAGCAGGCAACAGAGGATCTTGGAGAGGCTTGTGGACAAAGTAATAGGGTGGGGGAGGAAGAACTTACCGCTTCTCAGGAAAAAGCCTCAACTATCCCTTGATGGGGACATTGCTGACAGGGGAGAAGGTGAGGTTAGACTGCTGGAAGCCATTGGAGTTCATGGCTGTATACTACGCCCATTTCCTAGATTTTGACTGCTAATTCCTGCTCCTCCCACTTCACCCTCCAATGTGCTTGCACTACACAGCTGAGAGCTAATGGTGAGTTGTTAGGGATGAGAGGTAGGTGTAGCTGCTCCCACAGTCAAGTAAATAGACATAATGACATTTTCAATATGTTTTAGCTTCACCAAAAGTGGAAGTCTGGGAAAGGAGTGCTGTAGGGTGGTTGGAATTGCACACCTAAGTAATAACAGTAAGAGGGAACTCTTACAAATGCTAAGGATCAAAACTAATTACTAGACTCTGTGGTACTTGTTAAGTAAAAAAATAATCAATCAACTTGATGAAGAAATGTGATTGCTATAGGCTTTGAGAAGCAAAGTTCTCTGGAAATAAGTAAGTGAAAGAGCAATGCTTTTCATTGCAATGGAAAGCAATGGGTTTAGGAAAAAGAAAAAAGGGAGACACTTTGAACAGGAGGTTGGATTAGAGACTTTCCCTCCCGATCTGAATTATTCTGTTATTTAGTAATTCTATGAACTGTCTGAGTTTTGGCATGCTTTTCATGAAACTGAATGACAAATGTTTGACACATACTATGCTCTGCAGCAGAACGAAATAAAAGGGCAAGGACCTTCATCCTGGTAGAAAAATTAACAAAGAGCTGCTTGTAGGTCTTAAGAACTACTTTTGTCATTTGGGAAGGAAAGCAAAGGGTTATTGAGAAGAGACTACGCTGTGCTCCAAATTCATGAGTAAAATCCTGAAAAGGAGATGAACAGGACCTCAAAGCAATTTGCATGATGAGCTAGTGGAAGCCACTCTGACCAGAATGAATCCACAGAGGGTGACTTAGTGTTCTGACAGTGGTGATAGAAAATCTAGGCTACAACAAAGTAGGAGACCTCATGGAATTCTTCATGCTCCAGAGAAGATGGCAAAAGTATTGTTAGCTCAGAAGATGTGAGTGGAGTGAGGAATGTGGAGATGTGACGTGGAGTGAGGAATGCTTCATTGCAGCAGCAGATTTGTTGATGTGAAAGAAACCAGACAGTTATTAAATACATGCATAAACCATTGTTTTTAGAAAAAATGGTCATGATGATGAAAGACACTCAAAAGCAATGATGAATAGGTAAAAATACAAGTCTTAAAGAGTTATCCTAGCCTCAGTGAAGGAATTTGCTTGGTATGTCTGTGGGTAGATGAAGCGGAGAACACAAAGCTTGCCATAGCACTCAGAAAAAGTGTCCTTGAGTGGTTTATAAACGCTTTTACAAAAATTGCACTCGCTGGATGTCAAACTTCTGAGAAAGAGTTTGAGAATGTCCTGCAAGGGCTAATGCACTTGAGGTGTTCAGAACAGGTTCTATTTTCCCTTACAGACATACCTAAAAGGCTCATGAAAGTCATTAGGGGTTAAAATACAGGGAAAATGTTGGAGGCATTTCACACTGTCCTGAATGAACTAATATTAAAGCACGGTTTGCCTGACAACAAAATCCAGGCAGAGACAAACAGCCCTCTACCCCCACTCTGTGTTGGAAACTGATCTCTTGGAACAAAACAGATTGTTTATGTTGACTGGAGAAACAAATGGCATGTGGTAGAGGAGCAGTTCCTTAGCTGGCACGACTGCTTCTTCAGAGGCTAAATGCTTCTGTATGCACTGTATGCACTTAGGGCTGCTATTGTCAACACCAGGATGAGCACACTGTGAAAACACTTCCAGTAGAGTGGCGCTCTCAGTTCTTGTGTTAGTTTCACCAGAAGACACCAGAGCCAGATGGGTTATAGTACATGTCAGACTGCTTCTAGACAAGGTATTAAGATGTATGATAACAGTCAGCAGTTCACAGGTGGTACATCAAGTGTTTTCACTAAAGTTTGGTAGTTGTACAAACACCGGTGCTGTTACCTCCATTTTAGCTGTCTGGGAGAGTGAGAGGCTTGAGAAGGAAAAGAAATAATAAAGGAACCTCTGAACAAATCCATGAACTGGCTGTAATCCCTACTTATCTCTATTCAATTACAGAACAGAAAATTTACTGTGCTGCTTGCAGATATTATATTTAAGAGCAACAAACAGAAAAGTAGGACTTACTGAAATGATGGAAGCTTAGCTTAGTGCTTCTGCTGGGCAGAGATGGCAATCAAAAAGCAGCAGTTGGATCCTGGGACCTTTTGGTACTCCATGAGTAGATATTATGAGCATTTCTGAGAGTTGGTGGCTGCATCCAGCAATACTACTCCACCACCTAGAAAGCATAAAGATGGCACAGGCATTGCCTTTTCACTTTCCTAGAACGGAAAGAGGGGAGGAGCATGTCATATATCAGAATAAATCTTAAATGTAGCCCTTGTGTGATCCTTACTATACTTAACCAAAAGGCCACTAGAAGAGAGGAAACCACAAAGTGCTGTAGATGCACATGTGCGGGACAGACAACCACTGCGAGTCTTTGGCTCATGTTTGGAACATAGCTGAATGCTGGAATGCAATGCTGCTGTGACCAGTGGGTTTGCTGCCTCCTGCCAACATCAGTACTGGTGTTCCAGGGAAAACTGGAAATGCCAGTGACCTTGTAAGGCAATGTAGAGGTGAGTTGAGCACAGTAGTCTTGGTCAGCATTTGCAGTCTTGTCTTTTTGCTCTTGTTGTGTTCGGACTTGGAAAGTAAGATGTGGTGATGTTGTTCCAGCAGTAAGGGCATTCATTTCTTTGAAAGAACACTTCTGAAACCCATGACCAGCTCTGTGTGTGTATATGTGTGTGTGTGTCTGTCAAGCACCTTGCACCAAGGGCTGGAGACACTGCTTACTGGTGCTGCACTGATACAAAAAGAAGAGCGCAGACACACGTGGGTTGTATGTATGGGGTGCTTTCTGTGCTGGCATATGCTGATGCATCGTTCTGCTTGTGTCAGCGTTTGCCTGCCTCATGCGTGTTTGTCTGTGACCAACACCCTTGTAACTTTTCTCTGTAGAGTACAGTGGTGCGCAAGGCTCTGGGCTGCATCGCTCCTTCCCTTCCCAAAGCTGCCAGCACTTACACCCAGGCCTTGCTGGCCTACACCTTCGCCTTGGCTAAGGACTCTCAACGCACGCAAGAGCTACTTGATATGCTAGATCGAAAGGCAATAAGAGCAGGTATGGGAACCTCAGTGCCAGGTGAACATCACAGAAGGGACGAGTGACCTTTCTGAGCTCTCGATTACATGCAACCTGGAAGGACCATAGCTTTACCCTCTAGGTCCTTGACCGAAGAGAGTTTTTAGACAGCCAGTCTATGAACTCAAGGTATATGCTGGCAATACTGTGATGTGGGTGCTGATTTCCTTCAGATCTCTTGCCCTTTTCTGGTACCCAAAGGGGAGGTTGTGCTCTGACAGAAGCAAGCTTTCTTATGCAGGACTCTAAAGCACCAGAGAGGGAAGCAAGCTGCCCAGCTTCTTGTAGTCCCTGATCCCCAGGACTGGCTAGCGGGTGGCTACCTAGTATCAAGTAGTGGACTGGGCAAACAGGACAATGGAGAAGTTGAATGTCTGGGAGGTAATGTGTATGCGGATTATTGGCATACTAGTTTTTGTATATTACCTTGGTGTGTAATATGGAGTGTTGGGTATTGCAAAGTACATGGGATTGTAGTTTACCCAGTGGGTGTGATGACCCAGCCAAGAGGTATTTACTTGATGGACTTTGCAGATACAAGCCACTGTGCCTCAGGCCTCAGGATGTTTTCCTGACATCCCTCAATGTTACCTACTCCCTTCTTTTCCCAGGTGGGCAGATCCACTGGAGTCAGACCTCATCCAAGCCCAGACCCAGCACCAGCCCTTGGTCACAGCCACTGTCTGTGGATGTGGAGATGACAGCCTATATCCTCCTGGCCCTGCTCTCCAAGCCAAATGTCACAGGGTCTGATCTCACCACAGCCTCTGGTATCGTGGCTTGGCTCACCAGGCAGCAGAATGCCTATGGAGGGTTTGCCTCAACACAGGTAACTCGTGGCCAGGAAAGGGGATGTTGCTTGAGAAAGAACCTCTGCGCAATATACGCACAATGTATATGCAATATATGCAAGTGCGAACACTTTGAGGAGAGGAGGCCTTGTATACAAATGTCCTCAGGACTGCGTTTGGATTTCAGAGCTGCAAATGTAACTGTTTGTTCCTTTTCAGGACACAGTAGTCGCCTTGCAGGCCTTGGCTAAGTATGCAGTGCTTACGTACAGCACGAAAGGGGTTGCAGAAGTGAGGGTGAGATCCCAGAGAGGCTTTGGGAGGAAGTTCCAAGTCTCCTACCAGAACCGGCTGTTGGTGCAGGAGGCGGCACTGACAGAAGTCCCGGGAAAGTTCTTGGTGCAGGCCCATGGCAGCTGTTGTGTCTTTACCCGGGTAGGTTCCCACGGACTCTGCTGTGACAACCCTTTGCTCATCATCTTATCAAAACCAAGACTCTTCATTGCAGCTCTATGCAAGGAAACGTGCATTAATTGTGCTGTAATCCCAGCCTGTTGTCAATGCAATAAACTTGTGCACTGGAGGACACTCAGAGACAGAACATGTCCAAATGTGAGGACATGAGAGTACTGGAGGACGGAAATGTTGTATAGTGGTCCCACTGCTGTGTGCCTGACTTGCACAGTCTCAAGGGGAAGGGTGAGGAGAAGGAGCCCCAGCTGGAAGGATCATGGAAATTTACAATCTGAGTGACCTGTATTTTGGATACTGGGATGAGTGGGCTCACTGCATATGGTTTATCCAGTCTGGGGTCCATATCTTGAAGATTAATCGGTGAAAAAAGGTATGATTGATGATATTGAACTATTTATCCATGTCTTATTCTGTCTTTTCATCTCTCCCTGCAGATGGTGCTGAGGTACAACACACCCTCTCCACAGGTCTCCACATCCTTTGCCTTGCAAGTGAAAACCGAGCCAGTCAATTGCACCGAGGATGATACACACTCTGTTACTGTCTATGTCAATGTCAGGTGACTCTAAAGACATTGCCCCACTTGGGAAGGAAAGCCAGGCATGGCTGGAGAGCTGAGGGGTACTTCTTGGCTGCAATGGAGGCACCAGGCAGTTTCAGCAGAAGGTCTAGGTGGAAGATAGAAAAGGAAAGATACAAGTGTCTCTGGGGATGGGGAAATGTTTCCGAGGGCTTGGTTCTTGCTAGGGAGAGGAGTGCAAGTAGTCAGCTCAGACTGGGGATGCTCAGAGCAGTGCAGCCATCATCTGCCTCCTGTGAGAGGGAGCAGTGGCTGCCGTGGCCCCTGTCCTGCTTGGGCTGCCTGGCTCAAGGTCCTGCACACAGATTATGGTGGTGGAGGCAAGGGGCAGCTGGGAGAGACTCCTTTTTTTTTGTCTTCTCCCACAGGTACACTGGGAAGAGGTCCACTTCCAACATGGTTGTTGTGGAGGTGTCCCTACTGTCTGGATTCGTTCTGGCTTCAGGATCTGTGATGTCTGTAAGAAGCCTGGAATCAGGATGGTGATGTGCTGTCAGTGGGACCATAGATGCCCAAGGAGAGGGGGAGGTTGCATAGGAAGATGTTGCCTGTCTCTCTTGAGCAATCTCTCCTTCCCTCACCCTCTGCCACATAACAAACATGAACACGTACTCTGGCTCTAGCTTTGTGCCTTGAGGGTGGTGACCCTTCTGGCCCAATTCACTCGGCATATCTTTGACAGCTAGGTAGCCTAGGTTCCTGTCCTTGGGTTTTGCAGGAGCTGAGTGGCCCTGCAAGGAGCCCAAAATAAGTTTGGAAGTGAGTGAATGATAACTTGCCCACTCAAGCTTAAATAAACCTTGTCGGGATGTCTCACACTTGCTTTTCAAAAGACCCAACTAAATTGCTTCCTCTGCTCTCCTGTCATAGCTGCAGCATTGGCACTCTGTGAAAAGAACTGAGAAAACACAAGGAGGTGTTGCCATATACTTGGACAAGGTATGTGATTACTACTAGAGAAGCTGCAGGAGTGGAGGGCAGTAGTAGAGTTGTGTGGAGAAACCAGGACTGGGCTAGCAGAGCAGGATATTCAAGATTAATCTTGAAGTCCTGTGTTTGACTCCATGGAGTTGTTATTGCCTATCAGTAGGATCAAATTTGGGTAAGGAATAAAAACAGCTTAAGTGAACTGTCATTTGCTCTTCTTCCCTAGCTGAGCCATAAGTCTGAGACACACGTCCTGCATCTGGAGCGGGAGATTGGGGTGACCAACCTGAAGCCTGGCCATGTCAGGGTCTATGACTACTACCATCCAGGTCAGTGTGGAACCATGGGGTGCCAGGGCTGTCTGGGTGTTTGCACTTGGGTCTGTGAAAAGATAACTTAGATCTTTCATGTTCTGTTGCAGAGGAGCAGGCCCTGGCTGATTATAATGTCTTCTGCATCTGAGGTAGGTGTGAGTCCCTTCCTCAGCCCCCATAAAGACCTAGCAGCCATGTGATGTTTCCCCAACAACCTAGCCACCTCTCTCTGTCCCATAGGAGCCCTATGTATCTCTGATTCACCATGTTCCCTTCACCTAGGACTATATCTGGAACTCCCTAAGCCTCCAGGGACTTCAGTCTCTGCCCTCTGGTTTGTGGACTTTATAATGTAGTCTTTGCTGAATTGCCCTGTGGGCAGGACATGAAGTGATTAACATGTGTCTGTGCTGTGAAGGACTAGTGTTCATTTTCTGGGACTCCGCAGGGCTGTTTGGGCTGGTATAGTGAATGGGTCTGCCTGCCAGCTGAGTGACAGTGCTCATAGATGGTTTGTGCTGTTCCAGATGAACTTTTAAGCAAAATTCATGGCACTAGTTTCAGCTTACTCTGTTCGGGTATGGAGAGTCCCTCTTTCTGGGGAGGGGCTGAGGTAAAAAAAGAGCACTAGATCAAATCAGAGAAACACTTTCCTTTAGAGTCCTTAGTGACAGCCTGGGGTCCCTAGATGTTAGCATCCCAGAGTTAATAATACAGGTCGTATTATTTCCTCTCGGAGTTACTCACTCTTCTGCTCTCATTTCTGCAAAGACTTTGCTCCCTTACTGTCCACTGTTTCAGCCCACAGGGATCCTAATAGTGCAAGATGCACTAGGACAACAGGGCTGCTGCATTATTTCTTCTGGTATGATGGGACATGCATCACCTGGAGTGTCACATCTCGGTGGGCTTGGGATATTGGTACTGGAAGAGATCTCAAGTTCGATTTCAGGACTAACTCCAGCCCAAGCCATGCCACTCATCCTGACAGCCTTTTCCTGGTGAATTCTTTGTGGTGTCTGATAAATTCTGATTGTTTTAATCCAGGGAAATCCAGGGATTTTCTTGCTTGTAAAAAGAATGAAAATAAAATATAAATCACAAATGTGGGTACTATGATGTGTCTTTGGACTCTGTGGCAGAGGATTACCTTGGAGGAGGGAGCAGAAGCAAACACTTACAGAAAGAGTGTATCTGAACAGTGTACCTGGCATTCATTTCTTCCAGCACTGGATTCACCTCCAGCAGTGTCATGGAGCCATCATTATGGGGTGAAGACTCCTAGCCCTGCATGGAGACTGATCCTACTGAGCATCATCTACTGCACACAGATGTAGCTGAGCAATAAGGTCTTGGCTGATTCTGCACTTTACATGGATGTAAAGTAAATCTACTCTGCTGTGTATCTCAGAGATCAGCTTCTGTCCTCCTAGCATAGAAAAAGGGAGTAATTTTAGTTTCTGCACCTCCTGTGAAGCTGGATCTTGCACAGGACAATTCAAACATGAGTTGTCAGGCAGGACCCTAGGGTTGAACTCTATGCCCTAATAAGCTATTGGAGAGTGAACAGGGTCTTTGTTGCATGACAAGGAGATGCAAGGGCAATTCAACAACCAAAGCGTATCTGAAAATTCAACATCTCCCTGTGCTTTTTAAAATCAAACCTCATGACTTACAAGGAGCTCCAGCTTATGATCTGGGATCTTCAAGCTTGGCAAAGCTATATATCCCTATGTAGACAGGCAGATCTCCACATACCCTCGCTAGAGCTGGCTGTGAGAGTGTGATGGCTAAGTGCCAAGTCAGGCTTAGGAGTAGAAGGTCTGGGAGGGAGGTGGGGGTTGGGAGTCTGGATTTGGCTATGGCCCTGAAAGTTCTCCAGACCAGACCGTACAGCAGGGCTGGGGTTTGTGGTGGTTTAAAGGGAGGGATTTGAAAAGTATTCAAATTTCAACTTTGAAGTTCCAGAGTAACTCTGAAGTCTCAGCAAGTCCCCTCTGTGAGGCAAAGACACAATCATTGCAAGTTCTTTTGGTTAAGAGTGAACACTTTCCATAATGCATCGAGGAGATCTGCCAGCAAGACAGCCTGCTGAAAGCCTGCTGTGTACTTCATGTGCAGGTGAACAGGACTGCAATGAAGGCATAAATTCAGCACAGCGGTTGGGTCTTACCAGTGCCCTGTGCAGTGCCAGAAGTGGCTGCACTGATGTTGGCTTCGTTCCAGGTGTCACTTTCTCCCTTCTTCTGCAATTTTGTTTAAACAGGTGCTTTTTCTTTCTCTTTATTCAATTTCCCCAGCAGTCCATGAGCAATGCAGAGCCCAAGTCCACAGAACAGGATTTTTGCCAGAACACTACTTTCTCTGAAACTTTTTTGAAACAACTTTGCAGATACTGCAGCTTTCTTTCAAATGTCTCCTTTCCCACTTGCCTTTACCTCTGACAATATCTGTCCTCGCTGGTATCAAAAAGCAGAACTGGAGATAGTCAGACCTGCAGCTGGTATTGATACTTAGAGAGCAGAGGACCATTGGCTGGAGCTTGGGCTCTTGTAGAGGGGGAGGGATGCCACTTATCACTGCCAATGCCACTGTGTTCTTACAATCTGTTTTGCGGTGTTAGCAAAGCACAGGCAACAGGTCTGATATAAGTTCCTGGAGTGAGAGCTTTATTGGGAAAGCAACTGCTGTAGTGGTCACACACTACTCCTTACTGAACCGAGGAGGGGTAGATCATGCGTGAGCCCATTGTTACAGGAGGAGTTCACACACAAAAAAACCCCACTCATATGTATATGTGTACACATACTCTGTGTAAAAATTGCACGCAATGGCATTTTTGACTCAATATTCATTGCAATGTCAACACATACTTTCTTAACATCTCTTCTGGGTCCTTCAAAATGTTCCTTCTTGTTTTAAACTGGAGTATCTGTGGTGTCTGGCTACTAGAGAGCATTTGGAGGGAGGTGGCTGTCTTCCAGGAGAATTTAAAGATGGGGAAAAAACACTTTTGTACAAAACACATTGATTTCTCTGTGGCCTAAAGTTCCCTCTCTAAACTTCCCCCTCTCTGCTTAGAGCAGGAGGTGTCAGACATCACACTCATTTATTTATCCTTCACAAAATTGAGGGGTTGTGGTGATTCAACCTAGAGTCTTGGTGGTATCCGTGCTTCCATCTAGCTTGTGATCAGTTCCGCTGCTTGGACACCAAGGACTGCCTGCTTCCAGGGACACAAATCCAGCCTCAACTCCTTGTATACCTCTTGCCTGTCTGTGGGCTGGGGAAGGATCTCAGCACAAGACAGCGGCCAAGTACCCTGCCACAAGTTCCAGTGTGCGCAGAGCCCTGCTAAGAGGTACTTACTTCCTGAGTGCCTCCTGGCCCACAAGCAGCTAGTCACCATGCTGGTAATGGGAAATGGAGATGGGGCTGAGTGTGGTGAATCACGCACACCAAGCCTGTGACTTTGTTTTCTGCTGCTCCAGCATTTATATAACTGCTTCATTGTCTGGGAGTTGGGTTGGGTTGATTGCTCAGGATGTAGGTTTCCAATCAGTCCAGAACTTCAGAGTTGGTTTTGTGTCCACTTCCACAACACAGCTGCTGGAGTCAGTAGGAGGCAGGACTCTCAATGCCTTTGCCATTGTGAGCCCCTGTGCTGTTATGACAGATCTGGCTGTCCCCTGGAACTGCTGTGGATCTGCTGTGAACAAACAAATGTCAACTGGGATTGTTTAGCAGGCACTACCTGTACTTTTTGAGACCCATGGAAAGAAACAAAGAACAGCCTAGTGTCGCAGAGTGATTCACATTCTTGCTGCAGTTCCTGTTCACTTGTTTATCCAGGTGCACTTACATCTTTTTCTCAGCCATTGGCACCAGCAGCTCTGAGCTGAACAGAGCCCAGGGGGTGAGGGAGAAAAAGGAAAAGAGAGGATTTGTATCTGCCCACTGTGTGTGTGTATTAAAAAAACCCAAACCGTTTGTTTCCTTGTTATGCATCAGTCTTTCCTAAAGAAAAGGGAAATATTAATAGGCCTTACATATTTAAGAGCTCAGTTTGGTACTAGAGGATAAATTAGTGGTGCATTTTGATATGAAATGACCGTTCTACTATTTTAAGAATAAGTAGTTTCAAGAACCAGATTCTCTTTTCAATTATGGTAAGATACTCAGGGAAAAGTTCAGTATAATCAGTAGACTAGGAGGCACAAAAATTAGCATGTGGAAAGAAGCTCCCAAACTAGATAGCATGTGTTCCCACCATCTAGGGCTAGAGCCATGGCCTCTTAGTAGCTAGGGAAAACCCCACGGGACTCAAACCATGCAGGTTTTGCCTTGCCTGATGCTGACTCGTTTCCACCAGTGAGTGCATTGTGTTAGTTGACCCTGAACTGAAACCCAGAGGACTGTGTGATATAGCAGGAGCGAACTGCAGCTGTTAGATTCACTCTTCAAACTGATATACCTGTAGGGCAGAGATAAGGTGAGGACTCCAGCTCTGCCTGCTCTCTGGTCTCCTCCTGGCTAAGGCAGCACTCTGTGAAGGAGCAGAGCACTATGCTATATACTTATTTTGTACAAAGCCTAGTTTCCAGTTCAAGACTGAGACCTGCCTCTGGAATTATAGGCTCTGAAAGCTTGGGGACAGTATGACCACAAGAGTTCACCGTGAGTTCCAGCTGAGTGCACATGCCAAGGGGTTGTGGGACAATCCAGGTGGAGGCAAAACAATGGGACTGGGGCTGCAACTGGCACAAGGAGCAGGGTCAGTGCAGTGAACAGGAAACAGGCTGTTGCTTAGCTAAGTAAAAAGCAAACTTGTCTGAATGATGCTGGTCCATCCACAGGGGAGTAGGAGAGCAGAGAGGCTGGAGTCCAAAAAGGCTTGGATTGGCTGAGGAACATTCTGAATGGTACAACCCTGTGCCTGCAGCACTATAAACACAGGAATGAGGCAGAAGGAAGGAAACTTTGGGGCTGCTTCTCTTCTTGGGAGAAACGGCAACAGCAGGTGGCCTGAAGACCTTGGAAGGAGTGAAGCTGCATCCTAACTTATCTCCTGACCGGCCCTCCAGAGGAATCCACCTCTCTGGGGGTCTCCCATGAAAATGTGGACTCCCTTCCTCCTGAGCTGCCTGC